ACTTCACAATCAATTCTGAACCAGCTGTGGCCTCTTGCGACACGAATGGGGTGGACAAAAGAGTGGAGGGAGATGATGGAAACTGGTAGAGCAACAGTGCATGCCCCAATAGCTTGCTTCAACTTACGATTACCAGGTATACCGTCCAGGCAATCAAGGACCATATGATCGCCCCAGATGTATATGTATATCGACAACATGAGTTTAAGAGGACGAGGCTAATATTGCTTAGGGGACAATGCAGTATTGCGTCAAGTGGAAGGGTTGCGGTGAAACAACGTGGGAGCCTGAAGAGAGCTTGATGTAGGATCCCTCAGGCCGTCAAGACGACCCGGTGCTAACCAGCGGCATAGAGAGTGTGTGCCCCAATTTGTCATGCGATACAATAAATGTATCGCACGGCGCAAAAAGATCATTAGACGCGATACAATAAATGTATGGCACGGCGCAAAAAGATCATTGCAAAGGGAAGAAGGCCCACAGCTCGGGAGAACTCTAAGAATAGAAGCGACGGAGAAGCGACAACAGCATGTTGTCCTCACAGACAGTTGTCCTTGAAAGAGTGATGTTCACTTAGTAGACGGTATCGAACAAGAGGAGGACAAGTTGATTGCCCACGTTACCTGGTTAGGTGGGGAAAAGACGCGCCTCGTCATTCGGCGAGCTTAACGGGACGAAAAGTAGGGCAGGATACGACGTCAAGTTCGGATATGCTGATGAGAACATAGGCAACAGTGTGTTGGGCCGACAGCTCCCATCCCCCGCTCTTCTTCAGGATGGCTATGACGTAGGAGAGTGTATTTAACTTCAGTGCTAGAAAGAGCCGTAGAATAACGCAAGCATGTTAAGTATTAAGAGGCAATGTTCTTGCCCAGTTTAGCGCCCAGGCGACAGCAGGCAGAATTAGCGCAAGATCCATTTCGTCGCCTTTTTTGCTGATGAAACATACGGAGGCGACTGTGTGCGCAGAAGAGGAAAAACTAACCAAAAAGGCACCTCCTATCGACTCGCCTCGTGATTTCCCATGCCGTCCATGCGTTACACGCGCAATCAATGCTCCTGGCCATGAATGTGCCGCTCATAATAGTGAGCGAGTTATTTCTTATGGAAAGCCTCTCAGAATAGTGAGTGGGTTATTCTAATGAAAGAAATGCCACCGTGCTAACGCGCGCCGGTTAGATACTGGTGCAGCTTGCTGGGATTGCGCAAGAAATGGCCATACTTGTAGGCCGGTAGGTGGTGGTCTGTCTGGTTCTGGAAGAGGGTGGGTTGCTGATTTATTTACGCTCGCAGGTCCCTGCCGGCGCTGTTGCTGGCGTACTCCTTTTTTGGCAGCTCAACCGCCAGATCAAAGATACCAATGGTGACCCTGACGATGCTGGGCGAACTGCTGCGCAAAACGCAGCAGCAGTTACGCGCCTTTGGTGGCGCACCTGCCTCCGCTGTAGCACCCGCTGTGGCGTTGGCTTCCCATTGTGGAGCAGCTAAGACTTGTGAGGAGAGAAAGCTTCTGGCGCTGGAGACAATTGCAGGGGTTGCTCGGCTGTGGATTGTGAGTGAACCAAATTAGCTGGCTATACTCGAGGATACCGAGGATGAGGAGGGAGGAGGTTGATGATTATTGAGGGGTCAAAGGTCTGGTAAACAGTTTCGTGTATCTCTAGTATGGCCGCCGCTGCTCCTTCGCAGCTGTTACTGCAACTGCTGTTGGCACGATATCCCATAGAATTTACAAGCTGAGGTACATTGTCCAATGTACTGTGCGGGTTGGTTTAGTGTGGCCTCCACCTTGGATTGTGTTTTCCCGTGTTTTGCAACGGTGACCTCTGTAGGCTGCTGTAGGCGGCGTCTCTGGGGTCCAGCCCTAGGTCGGCGCCGTGAGCTCCCGCTTTGGAAACCCACTGTACGGCAGCTCGAGCAGCTCCGGTTCCATCTTGGTCACGGGACCAGATACCGGTCACCTGGCAAGCAAAAATCCCAGTCTTGACAGCCGAAAGCACTGGCATCAGCTGCGACGTCGCAGACTGCTCCGCCGCCTTGCAGAAGATGGAGATAGCAGAGCGGCGAAGGACGAGTCTCAACTGCCGCCACTAAAATGTCGACGACGTTCGCTGCCCTGATACATTTGATGAATAAACATCGCTTGAACGAGGTTGTTTTGCCGCCCCCGTGATCGCCATGAATGCCAGACATGTACATCTTGGTCTCAAACAAACCCACGCCGTCCACAGTATTATATTTGTCTTCCGACCGGAAAAGCATACCCATCGGCGTTGGCGTGTTCTCAAGTGTTGCAAGTGCGGGTTTGGTCGTGGAAGAGTCGACCATCGTAACGCCGAGGCGCAGCTTGTCCCGTTCCCGATAGAGATACGCGTCTACAGAACAATTTCGCGGCGACTTCCTGGCGACAAATTCATCGAATTCTCTAAGTTTGAATCGCCCTTCGAGGTTGTCGCTCAGTGGAATTAACCAGTTCCGAATCGAATAAACTGGAGCTGCGTAAGCCTTGAAAGTGACGCTTATTACGATACCAAAGTTGGTTCCGGCTCCTTTCATCGCCCATAATAGGTCGTTTTCATTATCCAGAAGCACAGCATCCACCGGCCGATGCGCAGGACGCGGCCGGAGGCGACGCTGACTACCACGACGCCGACAATGGCGTCACATGAGAGGCCGTGAAAGCAGGGCCAGGTGCCAGATCCTCCCTCTTCCCTGCCCGTGAGAATGTGTACTTGCTCAAATGCGCCCACATCGACTGCGACGACGTTGTGCCAGAGGCAATGGCCCGCTATGACCCCAGCCAATGACTGCCAGGCTGACGCCGTGCTCTAGGGCCCAACAAACGCACTGCTGAACATGTCGAATCTCTGTCAGCCTAACGGCGGAGGCTGGATGGCGGAGGCGAGCCTCGCGGCTTTTAACCCCATCTCCAATTGCAGATTGATTGCATCTGCGACGTCAGCTCCGGTAGCGCGGTCGCATGCTGAGTAAAGCACACCATCATGTGGAGCGAATAGACGGTCTTGCGGAGCTTCTTCGCGGCGACCCAAGGTGCGGCACACTTTGCGCCGCTCGATCTCGATAGTCGTCCTGTATGACAAATCCCGGGACAAAAGGAGCAAAACGGTTTAGCACCTCGTCATCATCCACCAGGCGAATGACTCTGGTAGGGTAAGAAGCCGTTTGATGGCACGTTATGCCGTCAAGGCGTAACGTCTCATCGCGATGGAAACCCATCACTAGTCCGGCCCTCGGCCGCTCGATAAAGCGCCCGTCTAATGAACCTGCATTTATGTTTCATGCCGTACAAGGTATGGCAGAATAGGATGACATCAAACTTATCGGGGGCTTTCTAGGCAGGCCAATGGGGACACCGTCCTCGAGGTAGAGCAAAGCCATCCCTCCAGCCTTGAGGCGAACACGTCATTGGGTTCATATGCACCGTATCTTCTGACCTTGCGTCTCGGATGGCCGGACAGATATCCAAGTACGTTCTTAAGGCCAGGTCCGACCTCCAGCACTGAGGTACGGACGACCTGAGTTGACAAGAGATTCTAGCAGCACAGATTACAAGCTGCGCGAGATCTTGAACAACGACAAAGCGCACATTGGTGCGCTGTACCGGAGAGCGCGCGCGCTCCAGACGTCAGCAGACTCGTTTAACGTGGTGTCGACAGACGTTGCGTCCTCAATCAAGATTCTTGATGAAATTGCTACCGGACTTGCAAAGGAAAAGGAGGAGATGGTCAGGAACGCAAAGGAACGCGATGCTCTGTCTGAGCGAGGAAATAATGCCCGAGAGGTGGAACGAGCAGGGATGCTGAGGCTGCAACTGAGCAAATGGACTGATCGGACTGAGAAGTTATGTGAGCAGAGCAACCAAAAGGCTCAGGAGGCCAAGGCCAAAATGCATGAGTTGCGGGCGATTCACCGAAAGCTGACTGAGGAGCATACGGAGAAGAGCAAGGAAATGGAGCGTCTAGACATTTTGGGGCCCCAAATGGAAAAGACAAGCATATCTTGCAGAGGTTTTACGCAGATCCGGAAACGAGAGGCCACGCAGCAGGGCCAGGAAAACAGCAGTTCAGTTCATGGGATGGGAAATGCTACATCTTTTATACGGAATTCAAAGGGAACCGCTAAATACAGTAAATCATATGGCATCGACAGCGAGTTATAACTTCAGGGTTTCACAGAGAAGCAAAAGGCTTAGATGAGTCATCCTTTTGTTCTCATATACGGCGATAATTTGAGGGTCTCTGAATGGAAAGCAGGGGCTGCTAGATGAGCATTACCGCATATGAATCCTAGCTTCGCATCATTTCGCGTTGCGGAGTACGGTAATACTGCCAGTAACATGGGTTTCCCTTCATCGAGTACAGGAGCCAAGGTTGCGAGTATTGACAAACGGAGAATTTGGGCTGCTATGGACTTGAACGTAGCTTGTATGAGAGGTTGCATGATTTGTGCATCCCCCCTTTTCCTCGAAATAATGCGGTGCTCTTGCCTGGCATCCGCCATGTCGCTCTGTTCGTGAGGCGGGAGGGAACATTTTTGGCAAATCCTGACAGCCGTCATCCAACTTGCAAGCAAGGTACCTAGTGCGATCCAGCAGCGTCTGTCGCCAAAAACAGTGTATCAATGATAACAGTGCTACCCAACAACTCAATCGGCTCAAAGTAGACTCCCACGATAACGTATTTTCCGGAGTGTTTTCGAACTTGGAAATTTGGTGGTACAGCTGAATTCGTTGTCAAGACGTCCGAGGAAAGTGTCCAAGTCGACTTGCCGCCAGCCAAGTCCCTGAATGGATCGCTCCATCATACAGTCATTCTTTCTCGAGAAAGAAGACGTGACCGACCAGTAGGTTACTTAGCTGGTGCAAAACGAAGTTTGAATGTGTGCGGCATGGAGGCATAATCTAGTGTCGCAAATAATGCATGATCTTTGATGAGCCACATGAAACTACATGTTAATAATCCACCTGTGTACTTAAAACATCTGCGGGATAGGACCCCGCACCTAACTTCAATCAAGAACACAACTTTTTCTCACCCATTTTTAAGCACGTAAAAAGTGCGATATCTAGCAACTATCTAGCAACACCGTGTGGATACATCTCGACATTGACTGGCCGCACCCCGCAAAACCCCCTGGGAGACGGGCTCCATTTTACTGTGTTGGTGGAAGATGTCGCACATGAGAATTCAACTGTGTCAATCATACGCTACGGGACCGAGAATGCATCATGATACCAGTACCGCTACACTGGCTTGGACGCTCGAGTCTGGATGATGTTGGACGCGTGCGCCTCAGCTTCATTTCGCGGAAGTTGGACTCGCTGCTGGCCCGTCCGTCCGTTGTCTCAAGACCAAACATTAATTTAGCCGGAAATTGAGACGCGGTTAGTCTAGTAATCTTCTTATCCGTGCCTATGTAACTATACGATATTCGGGTGGCCCAAGGCAGCAGCTTCCATTTGTTCGCTTTAATAGAAGACAAAACGACACGCGGTGTACGGAAAGTGGTATTCTTTCGGGACAAGTCAGCAAAAGCATCCAGCGCGAAGCGCCCCTCCCGCGACCAGGAAAGGATTAAAAAACTCCATTTTTGCGGATTTAGTTATTGACTGTTGCCTGTAGGCGACTCGATATGGGACTTTAATTTTTTTTTTTTTTTTTTGAATTGGTTCTCCACAATAAGGACTCATCGAGTTACTTAGAGGTTGGGAAAATCGGCATTGCTAGGTCGATAAAATTTAACGCCTACGAAGCCCCAAACTTTATCGGAGACCTTTGCACAATATGCTTGCTTGTTATATTTCTCCAGGATCCAATATTGGTCCAGATCTCAGTATCAACAGTTGCAAAACCTGATCTCTAACTTGCCCAGATGATTTTCCTCTAAAACGGGCAAGGTATTCAATCTTTTCGTGTGCTATCGGTCGAGATGAGGGAGATTCGTAGCCAATTCGGCGACAGAAGCGACCTGTTGCGCAAAAGATTCCGAACACGGCAAGCCTTTTTTCTCTGCCATCCTTTGGTGCCCAACCTAATCGAACACACTTGTTTCTAATTTCGTGAGGAACCGTCAGGACGCGTGGAAGTGCTAATCTCGATTTCGGTCCGAGTCGCCCGCCAGGGTTATGTGTGCTGTTCAAAACCCGCCAGGGCTAGGTGTGCTGTTCAAAATGGAAGATGGCTCACGGGCTCGAGGACAGGATGTACGCCGGGCTTGACCGACAGGATCATAGTGGACTCTGGAGCCAGTTGGGCTAGTAGACGTAGTAGTTGCAGGCACGGTAGATCCACCCGATCGGGGCCTTGTGCAAATATAGATAACATCGTCGCTTCCGTTCATGTTGTGTCATTGTCCTCCGTTGGTTGAGTGAAGAAAAATCAGGGTGGTGTCGGTGCGGGGGTGCAGAAAAGCACAGTCCGCCTTATTTGTGGATCACGGAACCGTCGCACTCACAGGAGAAATCATGATAGCTACTAAGTACGGATAACGGTCAATCAATACTGCGCTAGGTTCTGGGGGAAAGTATTTCATGATGTTAGATTGGGTGTCTATTGTGTTTCTGTTCCTCTGTGGTTCCAGTCCAAGTACATTAACAGTTACTTCCACCTCACCGCTATCCTTATGAGACATTTCTTATATCCTGCATCGTTATCGTTGTACTCTTGTACTTCCGGTAGACCGCGATATAGCACACGCAAACCTTCCCACGAAGTGATGGTGGTTTTGGGCCAAGGGTGTGTCCAGTGGCCATCGCATACTGCTTCAGATAGGTACTATGTGAGGACGCCCTTAATTTCACAGTATTCATCTGGACCGTCCACCTTCCTAGCAGCTTGCTTCGCGGCGTCATCTGCAATCGCATTCAGCGTTCGAGGGATTCTCCAGAATTGAATCTTCAAAACTGAATCATCCCACAGCTCGATCGGAGTCAGTACAGCGACCAGGTCAACGGCAGATCGTTTCGGGAGCGCGCTGGCTTGCTGTGGGTGGAGGACTGTGGAATAAATCGGCGCCGGCTTGCTGTGGGTGGAGGACTGCATAATGAATCGATGCCCACGCTAGACGGCGAGCGATCAGCCGCTCAAGGCCCTTCCCAAGACAGGAGAGCAGAGAGATAGGGCGCCATGCCCTGGGGGTCGACAGATTTCTCTTTCCCGGCTTGGGGATCATGACCACTTCTGCTTCTCGAAATACTCCAGGGTGATGGCCAACCGTTAGGCATCCCTGGTAGAGGCGACGGACGTGTCCCCCGGTGATGTCCCATGCTGCTTGCAGCAGCTTGACCGTGATGGCCGGGAGACGTGTTGCCTGTCCTGATCGTGGC